TAACAACCGGTTCTCTGCCCTAATGATTTCTTCCAACAACCAGTTCACCAAACTGCTCAGAAAGTTAACAACCGGTTCTCTGCCCTAATGATTTCTTCCAACAACCAGTTCACCAAACTGCTCAGAAAGTTAACAACCGGTTCTCCCGAAGTGGTGCGAAGATGGCTGAATCCCATCACTACTCCTGGGGCTTAGGACAGCATCTTACTTCCAAATGCATTTAAATATTTCACATGGTGGCTTTTGTAAGCCCTGATCCAATTACAAATAAATACAGTATTTTAATGCATGGAAAATATAGCCTTCCCTGAGACGAATTCATGACTTCGCAAGTCTCTGCAATGACAACAGGAATAACAAGAACAATAATAATAATAATACATTGCATCAAAGAAAAATTGATAATAATATTCAGCCTGACTGTGCAACCAACCAAAATAATACAATAGGTTAGAATTTTTTTTACCTTGCTATCGTGATGTGTGCTGCACGGTCTTCTAAAATGAGAATGGACTGGTCAACTAAATATGACAGTCGCTTCCTAATGAATCTAGTTGTCCTTTTCAAACACCAGAACTTAACCTGATAGCACCTGCTGCAATTCACTATCTGGACAGGCAGACCTACAGTTGCAAGGAGAGGAAGGGGAGATTGTGCACTGCCTTTTTGCATCCATAAATACCTATTTCTAGGCATCTCTCCTTATGCCAAGATGTGTTTGAGCTCTAGTTTCAAAGGCATTTAATTTCTTAGCTGAAGGAGAGAGGAACGGGGAGGGTGAATTCCATTTGTATAAGGCACTACCCCAACGGCAGGATAAGAGCACCCATCTTTTAACTGAGACTAATTTGGAAAGCCAAAGAAGCCAGTTATTGGTTCTACTTCTCTGTCCTTCAGCATCACTCTCAGACCTATTTTTCTGATCAAGACTAATTGCAAATAAAGCCAGAGCTTGTCTTTGAAGAGTAGTTCTGCTGGACCAGTCACCTTGTGTAATAGGCGGCAAATAAATTTAATAAATAAATAAATCAGCCGAAGAACCAGCCAGTTCAACCCACTGTTCCCATAATGGCCAATTAGATGCCTTCAAGATGCCCCAAGCAACTTCCTCTTTATGTCGCCCAGAAATTGATTCCCTACTTCCAGGGAGCAGGTCACTCATACTTTTGTGATCTATTATACAGCTGTATACAATCTTCTCCTCCACTAAATAAGTATCTTCTTTCAGGTTTACCTCCACTGTGGTGTCATCTATATTTTTCAGTATCCAAACCCAGAAGTTACCACCCGCTGTCTATACCACCTTCTTTATACATGAAAGCTCTGGAGAATAGTAAAATGAAGCTGGAGAAAAGAGAGAGGGAGAGAGGGAAATGCTACTAATTGCTACATCTTTCCCACCATGAAAGACTGTGCAAACGATATCTTACATTCCTGGATTCAACTAGTAAGAGATAAGACCGCCACAGATATGTTAACTTTGATGATGAACTTCCTTGTTTTGTTTTTAATTTGCAGGGACTTCAGTTCCCCAGTTATGTTTGGATGAGGTCTGGAGTTCTGTCATCCTTGCTTATCCTTATCCTTACTAAATGCAGTGGCCATTTCAGGCTTTAATACAGGTTCCCCGAAGTTGGATTTCTACTCTCCGACTTCAGACTCTGGAGCTTATCCTTGAATTGACTGCAGTGGGAAAGTGTTAATTTCATTGGGTTCATACGGAAGCTGTAGGAGTGTTCCCCCTACATATAAACATACATGCAGTCTTTTTCCCCCCTGTTCTTCATCTTCCTTGTCGGGGCCCTTTGGAGAAGGCGGAGACATCACTTGGGTGTCTGCTTGCTTCTTCTTCTTCTTTTTTTTTTTTCTTTTTGGTCCCCTCCCTGTTTCTCTTTTGGTCTCCTCTATCATCAACAGGCTGGGATCTTTTAAGAGGGCTCAGTTGAACAGATCAGCAGCCAGAAGTGGGAACACTTTCTCCAAGGTCAGCCCAACTTTTCTTATTCTCCAATTCTGTGGACCAAGAGACATCCAGAACTTAGAGAAGGTTTGCCCTCAGCATCAGGTCAGTTTGATCCGCTATATGGCCCAAATGCTGTGGTTTAAAACACGCCTGTTGCTTTTTGGTTGGGATTTTGATGATTGAGAGATGGCCAGGAAAGACTAAGAAAGGGAACTAGTATTAAAGGGGGGTGGGGAGGGAAACTAGACTGAAAAATACAAGCTGGAAAAAGAAATGGCACCATGGTTGTCTAGAGAGCTGGAAATAAGCTCTATCTAGCTGAAGTTGGTCTTCTGAAATTGAAACATAAAACAGGGCTGGTTGTATTTGTCTGTAAGGGAAATGCATTTGGGACATGGGTAGAGGTACCCTATCTTAGCTCTTGTTTGGGTATGATAAAGAAAACAAGTTCTCGGGTGGTTTGGGGCAACTTCTCATGCTGAAGGCGGCTTCTCGCATTTATGTATGGCATAACCCCAGCTGTAGGCAATGGAAAAATGAGAATGCCTTTTCTGCTGGAAGTAGTAAGATGGGTGGTTTACCTGCCTGCTGTCTTCCTTTTCTAAAAAAATTAAGGAAGGAATAGTGTTCCAACCAAATGTGTTAGAAATAATAGAGCCATTAGAGAAAGCTACTGATTACAGTGGAAGAGAATATTTAGAACTTCTAAAAACATATGAAGTGGTCTTAGAATATGTAATGCTACAAATAAATGAACAAAAAAAGGAGTATCTTAGTGAATTGAGATTGTTTTTAAAGCTGTACATTTTGGGGACAATGTTGACAGATTACCAGCGATTCAGAAAGATGTCTGTCAAAACTATAAAGAAGATAGATTTGATAATTGAAGAGCCAGGATATAATAGATTCATAAATAAGCAGGTGGCCAATGCTTGTCAATTTCTTGCCAGGGCAAGATGAGTTTCTGTATCTGGAGAATAAGTCTTAAAAGATAGATGGGAAACATTCATACTTGGCATTGGGACCTGGTGAAGGCATTAAGACTTGCTTTTGCCAAAACATACAAGGAATCAGGTAGAGTGCGCTGGTATTCCGAATTCTTACACAGTGGGTTGGGATTCTGAGTTTTTCTTGTTATTAAGTGAACTAGCTTTCTGCATTCCAGTTGTTGGAAACAAAGGGGAAAAAAGGAGATTATTTTTTTTGTCCAGTTACTATAAAAAAATAATGTGGAGAACATCAAGTGTGAGAATAAAGGGCTTGGCAGCTAACTGTCAGTAAAAAGGCTACAAGTTATCGAGAGAGCAAAATATAAATTTAAAAAGAAAATATACTGTATGGCGGTCAGAACAGAATGGCGAAAAGAGAGCATTGCTTGGAAATGGAGAAACAGGTTGCTCAAGAGTCGTGTAGACATTTTTTAGAAAACCTGGACTGAGAGATTGATATACTGCAAAACAACTGCATTGAGTCAAGAATGGAAGGAAGGCAGTTGCCCTTTCTTGAATACACACAAAATGAAAGTGTGGGGTTGCTGAAATAGTGGATGGAGCAGAGGCAGAATGCGCTAACAAAATGTTATGAAATAGAGAATCCCACACCCGCCCCAAAGTGTGCATCAATCATGTTCACTACACAATACTGGAAGAATATGGTAGATGGCCCAAACATATCAATCTAACCAGTTCCTCTACAGAGAAAACTCATGTCCATATGGAGCCCCCCTCCTACACTATAATTCCACGCCCTTGCTTTTCAGCCAAGGTGGCATTTGCGTCCCTTTTAAAAAGCAAGCGATCAAGCAAACTTGGTTTATGTCAGAAGGAACTGGCGCCGTAGTTCCATATAACTAAATCTAAAATCTGGCTGTTCAACTTCCTGGGGGAACATGGTCCCAGCACTTCATGTGAGATTGGAATTGTGCAATCTCCTGAATGAGCCTTAGAGACAGGGAACCTGACTTCAAGTCATGATTTCAACACCGATTCCTTTTCTATAAAATGGACATCATACCCCAAATCACGCTCATGCATACATAAACAGGTATGTTTATTTTTAATTGAACATCTTTCTTAGGAGAAACAAAAAATGCCTCAAAAGTCTGCAATCAAAGAATGAAGGAAGGGAAGCATATTGACGCTGGGACCCTATGAGCGTGCTTTACTTTATGCTAAACAGAGTTGGTTATGCTATAATTAATCTGAATTTTAACGTAGCCCCAAAACCCCTTGGCGTATTAACAAGATATCATCACAATTCTCCCATGGCACTGTGTCCTTGCAATGAGAGGGAGAGTACTTGAGAGACCGCCTGCTGCCAATTACCTCCTCTAGACCGATTAGATCCCACAGATTAGGCCTCCTCCGAATT